GCAAGAACTATTTAGCGAAAACGCAGCCTCTAAGAAGGGGAGATGTAGTGGTCACTATTTGTCCAGCTAGTGGCGCCTTCTTAGTGTAGAGGGGCGTGCGTGTTCTTTAGAAGAAGTAAAGGGGAGTTCTTCACGAGCAGCCGTCGGTGTCGGATGTCTTTTACTGAGCTCCGCCTCACAGGGTTTGAGAGGTAGGCTCTGAATCCTACAGTCTTGGTGTTCATCAGTACGATATTCAAGTATCTGCGTTTTGCTATCACACCTGGTGATGTGTCTCTTTCGTGCTTTTGATTTCCCTTGTTGATTTAGGTGCCTTTCGTACTTGCTAATATGTTTGGTCTCAGTCTGGTGAACTACGTCCTAGGCAGCACAGACACGTTGAAAAGACGTTGTCATGTCGGTTGTGATTCAGAGGTGTTAAGTAATCACGCGGAGACAATTTGGATGCGTTATATAAGCTTTCACTGGGCAACAAAAGGAGATTGAATCAAGAAAATATCTACAATGCTAATTACGTTAGGGTTATTAGTGCACAAACGTTTTACTTAACGCGCACGTCGTTGATTGGTTGAGGGAGCAGGCAGTCGGGCAGTCAGCAAAGTGGTCGGGTGGTCAGAGTGTCGGAGGGCAGTCGGTCAGTCGTTCGGGTGGAGCAGTCAGTCACTTGGGTAGCCGGGTGGTCAGCGAGTCGCACGGAGTCCGGGGCTTGAAGGTTCCGTTTGTTGTCTCCGGTTGCTTTCCGCGCAGCTGAGTCGACCTCGTACGGGCCGGCGCCTCGAGAGCTTGGAAGCAGCGCAATCGTATCTCTCGGGGTCTGGGCGTCCCGACGGAGGTCGTTGCTGTGTGCTCGAGTCTCGGCCGATGTTTCGCCTCTCGGAGCCTGGGAACCCCGACGGATGTCGATGGTGCTCGTCCTGGATAATCTGCGATTCGACTTCGACTGTCCCGAGCCCTGCGTGCCGCTCTCTCTCACGAGCCCCTCATCCTCTTTTTTCTTCCCTTCCGTCCTCTTTTTCCTCTTCACTCTCTGTCCGGCAACGACCACGGCAACGTCGAAAGAACCTGATGACGTCAGGAACCACATGTTGAAATAACGTCGAAAGTCTGAACGTCAGGTCCCTTCGACGTAATAATGTCACAAATTAAGGCGACGAGAAGGCGAACAGTGAACTGAAAATAAAGGTTGAATGGGCGAACTTGTGCCAACCAAAAATAGGTAACGAAAGAGCGTCGAGGAAGCAGGAAAACAGACGGCGATTCGGCGGTGAAACAGAGAGCGCGAGCGAGACTAACTGGACAAGGTCGCGGGCAGCTGCTTATCTACCGTGCGTCACTATCTCGAAAGTGCCAGTTCAACCTCGCGCGCTCGGGGCGAGGTTGAACTGGCACTTTCGAGAACAAGAAAGCAGGAGGAAAGTTACGTCTGGTGCGAGAATGAACGCGACGCAAATCCTATGCGGAGGGCAAATTCGTCTGCTTCTTGCGCAGGGGGTAGCGGTGACGTCAAGATGCCGAGCCCTGATTGGCTGATCGCGACCCTATCTGGGTGTCGTCTGCTCCTTTGCAACGTCGTCTGCTCGCAACGTCGTCTGCGTCTGTCTACCAGAGGCCAGATTCACGAAACGAACTTACGCCAAAAACGTGCGCAAGAGAAAACTTAAGAACAAATTCGTATTCACGAAACGAAATTTTCGTAAGTTTTGCGCAGGTTACGACGAAATCCTACGGCAACTCCGAAGCCCTCTTACGCACTTCTTACGATCAAATCAGCATGGCCGACGGCGTCGCGGTCGCGACGACCCACGGACATTTATTTTTTTACCTGCGCTTCTGACGCGTCCCGAATCTGACGCGTCCCGTATACGCCTCGCAAGTGGGCTCATTTTCGTCTTCTGCGCACGAGAAAGAAAGTGGCGGTGACGTCAGAACGCCAAGCCCTGATTGGCTGATCGCGACCCCCTATCTGAGCGTCGTCTGCTCCTTTTCAACGTCGTCTGCTCGCAACGTCGTCTGCATCTTTCTTACCTTTCGTGCGACTTCGCCTTTCAGAGAGGGCAGACGAAATAACTCGAGCGGTACGTTGTTTTTGTCTAAAAACTAGCAGACGCGCATCAAGGAGGGAAGTCAAAGGAGTCACTGGCGAGGTGTCCCGAGGCGCCGAGGTTTGTTTGATAAGAACCGAGAGTGCGTGTTAGTGTCCGCAAGTCCCCCCCCCCCCCCCCCCCCCCCCAAATACTTTTTCCCTCCTTTCGTGTGCGGCGAGACCCCTCATTCTTTAACGGCGTCGGCGGGTTGGCGCAGTTAACGTCGTCTGCTTTACGTCTGCTAGTCAAAGCGATGGCTGCTTTACCTTTCCTGCGTCTGTCGGAGATTCACCGCTTTTTCACCGGCGAGAGTCACCGTTGCCTCGGGAAACAAGGAGATAACAAGAGAAAGAAATTGACCTCTTAATCTAAAACTGAGGTCAGCGATCAAAGTATAATACGGGAAGGGCTTACAAGGGTCGCGCGGGCATATTCCATTCAGCACACCAGCCGATCGTGGGCAGACGATCGCTGAGTCGCGGAGTGCCTGCTAGGCCTAACTGCCGTGCTCGCTTGGTCGCGTTCGGTGGAATCGTGGCCGATGGAGCTTTCCCCGGGTGTTCGTATATCCAGCGTTCTTGTTCGTCGTGGTCTGTTTCAAGTACTTTTTACTTTTTTTTCTTGCTGCTTGAAGTCTTGACGCGTGAGAAGCGCACGTAGAAAAATAAACGTCCGTGGGTCGTCGCGACCGCGACGCTGTCGGCCATGCTGATTTGATCGTAAGAAGTGCGTAAGACAGCTTCGGAGCTGTCGTAGGATTTCGTCGTAACCTGCGCAAAACTTACGAAAATTTCGTTTCGTGAATACGAATTTGTTATTAAGTTATGTCTTACGCACATTTTTGGCGTAAGATCGTTTCGTGAATCTGTCCTCTGCACTTCCGAAAGTCACAGGAAAGGCAAGACCGACGCAGACGACGTTGCGAGCAGACGACGATGCAAAGGAGCAGACGACGCTCAGATAGGGGGTCGCGATCAGCCAATCAGGGCTCGGCGTTCTGACGTCACCGGGACCCCCTGCGCAAGAAGCAGACGAACTTGCCCTCCGCGTAGACGTCCGTGACCAAGCGTTTCTTTATCAACCCTGCGGGTGGCAATATGAAAAGGCTAAGTTCCGGAAAAAAAGGTGGAAGTTACGTCGACATAACGTCCCACTTAGCGACCTTAGAACGTCGAGTGCACGTCTGAGTTGGACGGGAAGGGAAGTGGTAAGTCTATATCAACGTCTTCACAATGTCCCATTTAACGACTATAAACGCCAAGTATACGTCTAACCTGAACGGGATGTCAATTGAGAACGTCATATTAATGAAAACCTAATGTTCCATTTAGTGCCAGAAAATCCCGAGCGCACGTATGTGGTAACGTTTGTCAATGTTGAATGAACGCCCATTTAACGATCATAAAACGTCGAGCATACGTCTGCACTTAACGGGATGTCAGTTGATAATGGTCTCGACCTGAGTTGCCGTGGAAAAATGGAGTCAACCGGATCTGGCTTCGTTGCTAGAAGGTATGTTCGCGAAAGCATGTACATCGGGACGGAATAGACCATTTGCTAAATCCCCCAAGCGACCCGGCCCGCAAACCAGGAATCATGGGAACGGTGTTCCTTCAGCTTACTAGCGATCAGTAATTTCGACTACTTCCATGGTTACACACTTTTGGGTGTAATTGGGAGTCTCCCTAAACAAGCGTCCTATAGTGCCCAAGGACCTGTCATATCACCTTTCAAATTTCTCGTCAGTGAGAGCGTTTTCGATATTGTGCATGCTGTCCACCCTTGAACCTGGCTCAGCTGCAGAAATCTCTTACACTATTATCATTCTCTTACAGCTTCAAAGACGCTTATATTAAGTTTGAAACGCTACAAATGCTATAAAGAGCCCCGCTGACTCCGAGATAGATCCTGGTTTTTGTTGTTGTGAATTCTCGGCTTTTTAAGCAATTCCTGGTAAAACAACTTTCACGAGAGTGATAATGTTGTAAGGGGTTTCTGCAGCTCAGTCAGGTTGAAAGGTGGATTGCATGCATAGTATCAAAATGCTGACATTGAAGAACAATTTTAAGGGATTTCACAGCACCTTCGGGGGGGGGGGGGGGGGGGGGGGGGCTCTTCGAGGCGCTTGTTTAGGGTAATCAAGGTGTTCGCTCAGGCATTGTTGTGACGTCTCGCGCTCAACGTTCAAAAAACTTCCCGGAGAAAACGTAGAACTGACGTCTACTTATGCCAATGACATCAAGGTGTTGATCAGACATTGTTGGGACGTCTCGCGCTCAGCGTTCGAAGAACCTCCCCCCAAGAAAAAGGTAGAAATGTCGAATAATCTCGATGACGTCAAAGTGTTGCTCAGGACATTGTTAGAACGTCTCGTCCTCGACGTTCAAATAACTGCCGAGGAAAACGTAGAACTGATGTCGATTAGTGTCGAAGACGTCAAGGTGTTACTCAGGACATCGTTGTGACGTCTCGTGCTCGACGTTTAAAGAACTTCTCATACAAGACTTCGAGCAGACGTCGATTACTGTTGAAGACGTCGAGGTGAAGCTTATGACGTTGTCACTACGTCGCGTGTTTGACGTTGTTGGAACCTCTCGTGTGGACGTACCAGTGACTTCGATAAAAAGTTTGTTAGGACCTCGACGTCGCCGAACGTCTAGGATTTTATTTCGAAGTCATCTCGACGTCTTGTGCTCCTTGGGGTTGCCCATTTCTGCTCGTATATATGTGTGCTTGTATGTGTGTGTTTTTGGTTGTAGTTTTAAGTGGTGCTCGCACTAAGAGCGATTGGTTGTTTCCGGACACTATAATAAACACTGATTGATTGACTATTTCACTCATTCATTGCTTATTATTATTATTATTATTATTATTATTAATATTGTTATTATTATATGAAATAACCTTTATGTCCAGGCTGTGCGTACGGTTACCAAGAAGATGCGGCTGCAGACTGTCGTGAGCGTGCATCCCAAATGGGGCCCCTCATATGATGTGGAAGCGCTGCACGGGTGAGGTTTAAAAATAAATAAAGTGCATCTCCTAAAGGCCGCCCTTTCCAGTTTGAGCGACCTGCTCATCCTGCATCCCTACTCAAAAGAGGACAGCCCCAAGATGGCCCAGCCGCCAGTGCTCTTCAAGGAAGACTTGGTAAGTTAAAATTAGGACGTTCTTGGTGGTGATACGTATGACACAACGAGCGAGGTTACTTTCGTCAATGTGATTGGTAAGTTACTGCTGCAAGTTTTTCGCAAATTGTAATCAGCTTAAAGTTAAGAGGATCAGGTATTCTTCTGGTGCTTTCTTTGAAATATACGATGGATTTTTTTTAAGCCTGTGAGGTATTGTGTTTTCTAAAGTTCTATAAAGATATTTTTTGCTTCAGTTTGTTTACAACTGTATTAACTTTGAGCAACGTCATTCGCTGAATCGTATGCCAGAGAACAATGTAATATTGAGACACAAATAATCACATCCCGCTCCCCCCCCCCTGCAGCATAAAATTTCATTAAAGTGATTTTTGTTTTCCAACACTTGCGTCTGGATGTGTTATGCTACCAATGTTTCAAAGAAGGAACTGAAAATGTATAAAAGAGTGTGCCCAGTATTGCGATGTTCGTCACCATCATCGCAATAGCGCGCGGGTTTAGCATAAAAACTCGCTCACTCCTTTAGATGTGGAAAAACAGTTGTGTAGGCTACATCTGGCATACGATGCTTCCCGCTTATATCAACTATAGATTCGAGCGAGAAAGCACGAGCAAGGAGGGACAGGAAAACCGCCATAATAGGTTGAAACTCTCAACTCTGTGTTCTTTCAAGAACACGCCTGCTTCCGCTAAAACCTCCACGTTATATGCAGAATTGAATTCTACGAGAAGCCCTGCAGACGCTATCTCGAATCGCGACCTTCCAGGCACGCGATGCCGTCTCAAAGTCACCGAATTTTTTTTTTTGTACGGTGTCTGTTTTTTAGAGCGCAGCTCTTTGGCGCCCGTTTCCGGCTTGAGCGGTGTCGTCGTCGGCGTAACCGTAAGCCCCCCCTCCCCCCCCAAGGGCCTCGGGAGGACCTCGGGAAGACCTCGGGTTACTTCGAAAGGACCTTGGGTGGACCTTAGGTTTCTTCGGCAGGAACTCGCGTTCCTTCGGATGGACCTCGGGTACCTTCGGTGACCTCAAGGAGGAGGGTCATGTGACCCCCCCCCGAGGTCACGTGACCCCTTTCCCCCCGAGGTCACATGAGCCCCCCTCAGTACCCTTCCCGCCTCCTCCTGAAGAGCTGCGCTCTAATTCGGCGTTTCAGGCAGTTGTACACGGCTTTCACTTTTTTCTTGTTGTTTCAGAAGATTTAGCAATTAGCAAAGTTTTCTCAGAGCGTCCTGAAGCCCTCCCTCCTTAAAACGACACTGCCATTAAAGAAAAAGTCTTTACCACGAATCCGCGAGAAAAAAAGAAAAAAAGCAAGTCGCGGAATATTTATGCTGTTAGACGCAATTGAAGTGGCGGTAGCGGCCCACTTTAAGCCCTGCCCACAAACCAGTTGCTCCAACTATTACGACTTGCTTGACTGCCTGGCCGAACACCCTAAAAATCCTGGTGTCTCCCTTTCGCGACATTCGGCGCGTCTCTAATCTTGCCTCTGACAACGCCTGCAAGTTGCGCAAGAAGACGGGCGGCAGCCTTTGGCATCCTCTGTCATTTCACCACGCTCTATTGTCGCCTGCACTCTAAGAAAAAAGGTGGCAAAAGGGGAGGATATTTCGAAGTTCCTCCTTTTGATCAGCTAGTATCTCCTTTTCATCGAGTTTACGTGGTGCGCCTTCTATCGGTCATTGGAGAGGGAGGAAATTCTCTCCATAGAGCTCCATCCTGTCAAAGACTCTCCTCCAGCTGTCGCTCGAGCTCCTTGTTCTGGCTCGGTTGGCGGCCACCTTGTTGCTCTGGATCGTCTCCAGCAGGTGGCTGCTCTCCACGTGGTCCTCCTTGATCCGAGCCAGCTGCTGCTCCGTCCTGTAGAAGGTGGCCGCTTTGCATTCTTCCCTGGGCCTCCCCTGACGAACCGTCGTTCTTGGTGGCCGGTCCACCACGAGCCCGGCCGCCATGTCGTTCGGATGGTGGGGGTAATGTCGGTGTTGTCCTCGAGCCATCTTTGTAGAGAAACAAGGAAGCAGACGACATGGGGGCTTAGTTGAGGGTTGAGCCTGACATTATTTTCGGACTCCTTCGAAAAAGTTTGAAATAACGGATGTGAGGTGGGCACACAATCTTCTACACCCTCTCTTGAAAAGGGAGTAGATCCGTGGAAGTAGAAAACTACCCCCAAAATGCGAGAGAGGCGAAGCCGAGGAGACAAAAAAAAAAAAAAGAGGGTTCCTCTCTCTTTGGTGTCACCGACGTCGCAGGTTATACCGCCGTCTTGGTGGAGACAAGGGGGTTTTTGGAACGGGACTGCCCTTAGTGTTGTTCAGGTCCTGGGCGGAATCGTCATCTTCTTCTTGAAAATATTGTTTAAGGTCAGTGACATGAACGGGTCCGGTTTCTTCACTCGACTCGAAGTGAACTAGTTTGTAAGTGAGTGGTGAGCACTTTTCATGCACGCAAAACAGACCTTCCCACCTGGTTGCGAGGGAGGCTACGAAGCTTCGAGCGGCGTCACTCAGTGGTTGAGTGCGCCGGAGTACGAAATCACCCACCTCGAACTGCAGGTCATGTCGCCGCTGGTTTTACTGTTCCGAGTGCTGCACTCGGGCGACGTCGAGATTTTCTCAGGCCTTTCGAAGGTTGTTGGAGAAGCGCTTTCGCAGGTCGTCTACAAACTTTACTTAGGGACGAAGCCTTCCCCCAGCCTCTGTAGAAAGGAGACTGTTAAAAAGCGGAAATGCGAGCTCCTTGTCGAAATTCAGTTGGGCAGGAGGGAGACGCGTTGACCAATTTGCGGTCGTACGGGTTGCTAAAGCCAGCTCCGGCAGTTTCGCGTCCCAGTCCTTGTGGCGCTCGGTGTAAGCCACTTACATTATCTTAAGGTTTTGATTTATCCTTTCCGTAATATTTGCTTGTGGGTTGTATGGGAAAGTTCTTCTGTATCTAGTTTCCAGCACCGCGCATGCGTCCACGAGCACCTTGCTCGTTAGGTAGGAGACATTGTCGCTTACAAGCAGCGCTGGAAAGCTGACCGTAGCGAATGTTTCAAGCAAGTGTTCCTAGATCTTTTTGCGAATCTAGCTTTCGCAAAGGAAATAACTCAACCCACTTCGTAAAGTAGTCGGTTACCACGAACAAGGAACTGATTGCGGCAGGGGGTACGTGGGAAGGGGCCCATGACGTCACAGTAACAAATCTGCCAAGGGCTCTGGCTCACAATTTGTTGCATGAGACGGTGGGGGCTTACCACCACGTGGTTTTGCCTTCTGGCACCACACCGAGCAGCTACGAGCGTATCAAAACATATCCTGCCTCATGCCTGGCCAGGTAGCAATTTCGGATAACTTTTTATAAGTTTTTCTCCCACTGCTGTGTCCTGCCAAGGCAGAGTCTTGCATGTACCACAACCTATACCTGACACGAGATCAAGCAAGTAACATTGAAAGGAACACGGGGCAGCAGGCAAGGAGACCTACATGGCGCAAGCTACAGTCGACAGCGTCTGGAGAGTGATGTGAGGTGTTCGCAATGCTGCAAATGTCGAAGTCGCTCTTTGTTGGTTAGGATGCCTCTAATTCTTTGCTGTGGTATATGCTCAGGGTGAAAATTACTTATACAACCCAGTGCCAAGTCACGCTTAAACCGCATGTTTCATGAGAAATAAAATATTCTTCGTACAATTTTGTTTTCACCATTATTGCGAACCGAAATTTTGGCAAAGACGGACAACACCATACCTTCGGCACCCACGTGATATACAAGGGGCCACAGGATTTGCCACACCGGACACGTGCTGCACAAACATTGTCACGCCGTCTGCACAACACATGTCATTGCTGTATCCGACGGCTTCCGTTGGAAACAGAAGTATACAAACAGGTGTTTTCCCAAAGGCTACTTAGTAGGAATGCATACAAGGTGAAGTGTAGTAAAGTGCATGCAAGTAAGCTGCGAAACTGGTATAGTGAGCAGCAAGTGACACAACACCGAGGATTTTTGCCTTTGGGCATTTTTCCAGGCATCACACCTAAATAGGAACCGAAACACTGGGCTTAGCGCAACAGAGCCTTCCCCCAGCTCACGGTGTTTAAACCAAGCGCAAGGCGCCGCAAACCTTAATGATAGGGAGCATGGTGACGTCCGGCATTAGCTTCGTTCTGCACCGCTCATCTTTTGGCTTCTACGCCTTGTGTATAAACGTATCAAACAGCACGACCAGCCTCCCGATAAGCTAAATTTCACACAGTAGCTACTATTTCGTTGTACGCCGACGACGAAAAGCGCACCGCGTGGTAGTGGAACCAGAGAAGCGCAAAGAGTCTCAATATCGTTTTCTCCGTCGTCTGTGCGGAGAAAATACGGTAGTGATATCAACAGGGGGTCACTTGTTCGACATTCTCTTTCGTGCCCGATGTCCAACAATCCTGCAAATTCCTTGAATAATAGCACTCCATCGATGACAACAACAATGTTTCCGCAATGTGAAAGCTTCCGTCGAAACAACCTCGAAACGTTGCAGTTTCGCCTTGTTTCGGCATGTACTTAGCATGCACGACTTAATCTTTCAGGCAAGCATATGACTACTGGCAGCATCAACTAGGTATTCTTTTTGTGGTCCTCCTTAACAGAAGAAGCCAACGCGCGGACTACTCTGTGCAATGTCATGCCGCTTGAATCATTACAAGCCCAAGGCAATGCTGTCATTGAGACTAACGATGCTTGGATTTGAACTAATTGGTTTGACATTATGACGCATATTGCGCTGCGAAGTTACATCTTAACACATAAACAGGCAATCTCTGAAACAATATGGAAGACTGCGCTTTCAGAAGTATGTCGTGTTCTTATCCGTCTTCCATATCGTCTCATAGATTGCGTGTTTATTTGTTAAAAGGACACTGCCAGGGTATTTATATATGCTCGCTGAGGTTTTTAGTTGTATGTGACATATGAGAGCCCAACTACCGAGAACAGAATTTTCGGTTCGAAATTCGATTTCTTTCCGCCTG